TTTCTCGGACTCTCTGCGCGCGTAGTCGGACAGGATGAGTTTTGCGATGTCTGCCAGCTTTCTTCCTGAGGCGTCTAGCTGCGTGAAATTTTGTTTTATCCAGCTGTAAATAGGAGGCAGCTTGTTGATCAGGGTAATGCTGACGATGTCCTCGTCCATTTTCGCGGAGGCGTCGTCCAGCGCCTTCTTCAGTCTTTTGAACTCTGTTACGTTATCATACACGGTTTTGTCATCGCGGTATTGGAAAGCAATGAAGTTGTTCACAGCTATAATTTTCCTGCTTGCATCTTTCTGCAGAAAATGATCTTCAAGTCTTTTCCAGATTGTGGGGCCACTCACAGTTGTTGAATCATCACTGAGGAGACCCTCGATGAGAGGGGTGTCGAGTGCATTCTAGAAGAATGTATCTGGCTGCGATGTTTCCGCGAGTGAAATGCTTCTGTTGCTGCAACGTCCATGTCTCGCGAGGGAGTATGTCGTTACTCACGTTGATTGAAGATCCTTCTTGGTATCGTAGAGTCTCGTGCTGATAACGATTGATAGGAATTTCCGTGCGTAAAAACTTCACTAGATCAGTCGGGATACCAGGAGGAGGACAGAATTCAGACTTCAGAATGACGAGGATGCCTTCTGTGTGGTCACAGAGCAGAGAGTATCTCTATTCGTTTATTCGTTGAATATATAGGATGATATTTGTGTCAAGGATCCAGTAGGTAGAGAGAGTGAGCGTCGTAGATTTACATCCGGAATTTACCGAGTTTTACCTGTTGTCTGTTGTCTGTTGTCTGTTTGTCTGTTTGTCTGTTTGTCTGTTTGTCTGTTTGTCTGTTTGTCTGTTTGTCTGTTTGTCTGTTTGTCTGTTTGTTCTGTTTGTCTGTTTGTCTGTTTGTCTGTTTGTCTGTTTGTCTGTTTGTCTGTTTGTCTGTTTGTCTGTTTGTCTGTTTGTCTGTTTGTCTGTTTGTCTGTTTGTCTGTTTGTCTGTTTGTCTGTTTGTCTGTTTGTCTGTTTGTCTGTTTGTCTGTTTGTCTGTTTGTCTGATTAGGGGGGTCAGTTCTCCGATGCGATGATTCCTTCTACCTTAAAAAAATTATTTGAGTGGTCCACCCACGAAAACGTGGAAACTCAGAAAATAATTGAAATATCGGAAATTAGCAAAATTCCCAAAAGCCTGAACCGATCGCCGCAAAGATTCAGGGGTGGGTTCTCGGGAGCTTCAGGAAGGTCATATGAGTGTCGTCGTTCTCATGTGATGGGTCCTCCCACCATGAAAAAAAATTCAGAGGTAGCAGCAGAGCCACTACCGTGTAGAGGACGTGAAACGTCTTCGGAATGGCCATTCGTAAGACTCGAGCATCGTTATTATTTCTTTGAACTCAGCTCCTACCCGAGCTATGTCCGAATCCATTGTCTATTGTCTAGGAATGATCGTTTGAAACGAGTCGTGGCTCGTTGCCAAGCCTGCGCGTAGGTCGCGCTTCGGGAAGGTCCGATGTCGCTGACATCGGGAGTCACCTTCATCGGACTGACTAGCGCATCAATGCCCATATTTCTTTGATTCGTATTTGGTCTCGCATTGCTGTGGGACTGGCTCACCGTATTCAGTCGACGCGCCCGCCGTTGCGCTGTCCTTCCAGCGCCTGTACGAGGCCGTTTACAATCACTCGCAGTTTTAGTCCGTGAACGAGACTTCCGACGTCTGGAACTGGCTCTTTTAGGTCTCATTATCACTGGTGAAATCGAACTCGTCACCGAAGTTGGGGAAATATCTTCTTCCGAGTGGAAAATATCTTCTTCTGAGTTTTGAAAGAGGTAAATGCGCAATTGCGTTGCTAGCCATTGGGCCGTTACGCGCGCTCTGGAAATTCGAAATCGCCCTCTCCCAAGCGCAGCCATGTTCTTGGGAGACTAGGGCGTATAGGAAGTCATTCTTGCCACCAGGAGTTGATCTGTGTGTGTGGGAATTCCGTGGGGAGTATATGAAATTGATGTGCCGTTTTGCTATCTAAAGACTCCAACCGGGTGTCGATCGGCGTAGAAAGCACGGAGCCGCAAGGCGTCGAAAATGGACAAGTCTCGTCACACTTTTGGTGAAAGACTAGGCCAACCTTTTTAAAGACGTTTCACGTCAAAACCGGAAGGTAGTTGCGAGCTACTGCCGCATGTTCGTGTTAAAACGTCTCACGTGATTGTGTATTGCATGAAGTCAGCCGTAGGCGATCTATTCTGTGCTGATTATGAAGATGATTGGATTCATGAGCGAAAGCACAACGGATTATACATATAGGCGGGATGTTTTGTGTTCATTGACGCGCGAGCGCCCCTGCTGTCTCTTTGATTGATTCGAGGTCGGCCGGCTGAATGATTAGCTCATGAAACGAGGAAGTGGGAAAACCTCTCAGCGGTCCCTCCCGATATATCTTTTTTTCTCCGACACGAAGTCAGTGTGATGCTTACCGCATCTCTTCAGACGACAGTGGCCGCATCATACCTAGTCTGCGAGAGCTCGCTCAATCTACTCATGGTGATCATGCATTTTAGTGGATTCTCATTGTATTTGGCGTGCTGAATTTTTTATTGAATTTAAGCATTCATGGAACGATTCCTGAAATGGTCTACTTGGCCTAAGTGACCTCCGCAGAGAACTGCGTGACAAATAGAAAACGCAGCCTCTCTGCTCCAGGTTCAGCTCGAGTCTCTCAGCAAAGTGACTCTTTGGACTCGTTCAAAAATGCGGCTCGGTCGGAACTCAGCCCTCAGGTCAATCGCCGCGGATACCAGCTGGAACGATCAAATTCTTCGGGAGCTCTTGAATCGGCCAATATGAGCTACGTTCCCGCGATACGATGGAGATACTCATGAAAGAATTTGATTCTAGATGCCAGTGAGCATGTGAAAGTACCTGGCTGCAGGTCATAACGTGTGATTTATCGTAGAAATTCTAGGAAAATTCCAGGCCGGAACTACCTCAGGAGTCCATGGTCAAGTGTAGTGGCGCTCGGAATTGTTTCCCTTGCACGAGGTCCTCGAGGAGCTGGAAAGCATTGGAGACATTTCTCAGTCTTGGAACGGTACGTATAAAGTCACCGGAAGGAAATAATATCCAGAATGAGACTCACCTCTCCATCATACGATCTCAAAGGGGAGATCTCACACACTATCGGCTCGTGAACCTCTTTCTCACTGTTGGGAAGAAGCAGAATGTCAACTACCAGGGATAGAAGCGAAACAGCTGCTTACAACCGCAACGCGTTCTTCCGTGCGCGGAATTCAGGCATTCATCTATCCAGAGTAACCATTACAAGATCGCCATAAAAAGTAAACGGAAAGTCAGATGAAAACTACAAACCTCTTAACAGCTCTATTGGAACTGAAATCAGAACGTAACACAATGAACATCGAGTCAAAAATTTCAATCGGACCATTCAATCAATATTTCCATACAGATAGAGTGCTCTGAATTAACATCGATCGGGACTAATGCATGCGCCTCCGCTTTGGCATCATGCTTATAATTACGGATACGTCCCTTCAAGACCGAGCTGGGTTTCGGTTTCAAAGCTTTCGCTAAATGTAGGACTTACGACGGAAGCAAGGCAATTGGAGCTCCATTCTCATCGATGAAAGTCCCTCCCGCATTGACAATGTATCTATGATGCAAGTCGTACAAGTGGTGCCGACACGTCGTCGGCGTATCCTTCTCGGCACCGTCCGCGTTCTTCAGGGGCGAGAACTCGTCTTCTCGAAGAACTTCCCAAACAGCGAAGTTACTGAAGAAGAAAGAAAAGCGTCAGCGTGCCGGAACATATTATATTATCCGAGTCGAACAGCGATCCGCAGTCGAAACGAGAGAATATTCGCCTATGAAAACGGCGCCTGCTCTTCCTCCACGGCTCGGCGGGTGATCGACTGATCGACACTCCACACGCTCCACAAATATAACCCTTCACGAATACTCACTCGGAATATTCGAAGACGTCGAACACGAACATTTCGAGTTTGATACCGTTGGGTTCCTCGGGCTTCGTCACTTGGCCCTCATTGTTCAGGTAAGGGATTTTCTTCTTCGCGACATGGTACTTAAGCGCTTTTTTGCTGCAATAAATTCGAGCCTCGTAGATAAATTTTTTTCAGAGTTTACCCCGTGTTCTCTCCTCCCGCGAGAGAAGATTTACGGTCCCTCCCCCTCGCAGAAGAAATTCCCTCGGAAGTGAGGAAACCGATCGAACTATGCATACAGAACAAGAAAGGAAAGGTCGTAGGTGCAGGATAAGGAGGAAATCGGGAATTCAGGGTATCGAGAGGGGAAGGTTCCACAGGGGATCCAGGACCGACTCCTTGCGGGACAAGGACTCACAAAACCCAGAGTGCGGGGCATCGTGTTACCTTTGCGGATCTTCGTTGCCGTTGATATCCAGCTCCGACAAGCAAGCGGCGAGTCTACGGAGGGAGCATCGGTTAGGAGAGAGGGGCTGGGGTTGTGTGAGGGAGAACATGCGGCTGCGGGGCGAGCGTCGAAAGATCACAGTCGGGGGAACTAATGAGGCGATGCAGGAAACTTACCCGGACACTCGAGTCAGAAAATCGAACGTGAAGAAGTGGTTGCATATGTTGCCGGCGTTGAAAGTCAGACTGCCGTCCGAATTCCTCTTTTGAGCTGTTTCGGCGGAGATCTCGGAGTACTCGACCACTCGATAGCGTCCATTCACTCGGCACACCACTCCGACGGCCTCGGTAGGAGTAGCCTTTTTCACAACCTGGAAAGTAGATGAAACATTCAACTCCTGCTCGCAAGACAGTACAGGATGGGGATGTTTGTCCTCGAAAGGAATAAGGCGTCCGAACAGCTTTGGATTGAATTCGGCCCAACTATCGGAAGCTGGAGCGACGATACCTTGGCAGCACAGTCTGCTCCTTTGCTCATGCAGAATCCAATGAAAGTGGGATCGGCGATCTTGACGAGTATGTTGTCGACGGAATAGACGTGTATGAACTTGATTCCTCTCTTCTTCATGTCCTCGAGGATGGCACGCTTGTATAGGACGTTATACAGTCCACCATTCCCGTCCGGGCTGAGAGCCAAGCGGTGTTTCTCCTTTAAAATGATTTTTCCATCGAAGGTGAAGCTGGGCATCATTTTTTGCTCGAACACCACCAGATTGTCGCCCTCGAGGCCGAAAAAACCGTTTTTCTCAAAGTATTCGATCGTCGGTTCTTTCGTGTGCTCGCTGGTCATGATGTACCAGGGGATGCTACCGCGTTTTCCGGTTTGACGCTCAGAGAGCTCCTCCAATCTTATGAGTCGCTCCGCCTGTAAATTGTACAGGGTTTTCCCGGACGGTAAACCAATGTCGTACATTCCTTTGGGATAAGGCACTCCCAGACGTGTTCCCTGACCGCCAGCCAAGAGCAGCGCAGCGACCTCGCCTCGGGAAATTGCTTCGAGCCCCGCTTCCCGGTATGCGGCGAGCTCATTTTTAGAAGCGCGAGCGATTGAGCCGAAATTGTCGGCTGGAACTGGTTCTAGAAGTTCATCCGGGTTCTCCTCTTTATTCGGTATCATAACGTTCGAGAAGGCGGCCATGCATCTCGCGATATCCACGTAGTGGATGTCAGCTGTCGAAAGGGAACAATCATGTCAGGTGAAGCTCTCATCTCCCCGACGAGCTTCTCGCCATCGCCCCCATCATGCTGATGTCTTGCGAGATTCAGCTCTCTCCCGAAACTGATACCGAGTGAGATTTGATGGGGTTTTTCAACTCGGAACCCTCTCCCAATGAGACACTCAGTTCTCCAGAAATTATTTCTCGTTTGTGACATCTCGGAATACGCACCGACAAGTTGGCCTCGTTGTTTTTCGTTGAGCTCATCCCAAAACTGCAGGAGATGTTCTTGTCCATGTTCGTCGAGCAATTGCTTGATTTTCCTGGTTTCAGCCTCAGCCATCGCGTGCTCGCTGAAGTAAGCGTGGCTGGAAGTAGATAGTCAGATCAATGGGAGCCTCTGAGTAAGACCAGCTGTCGAGTGTCCAGCTGGTCTAGTGATAGATCGAGCATCATAAGAAACGTCGTATGTATCTATTCCAGTCCATCGCTCAGTCCATCGCTTCGCGCTTGAATGTCAAACCCTCCAGAATAAAGAAGTCTGAAGGAAGTCTGCTATGATCTCCCCGGCAGTCCGGTGGTGACGATCTCAAAATCACAGTTTTTCCTTATCCAAAATACGAAACTGACCGATATCCGAACTCAGTTTTCCGTTTAATCAACACCCCCAACCAGCTGACGGATTTTTTTCCATCGTCGTTGCATAAGCTAGCCGGACGGCAGACGGAGCGCAACCGACGACGAGAACAGTAAGGTGAGGTTTGGAATCGAAATAATCTACCATTGATCGATCAGCAGCAGGAAACCCATTCGGTGAGTGACGTGGCGCCGTGCGTAAAAAATACGGCGCGTGCGCCAATTCTGTCGATCTTCCGACAGTGATCAATGCGGGCTGCGACGATCAGAACACTCACATCTGATGGTATGGGTCCGCAGACATCGGATCTTCGACTCGATTGAAACGGCCATCCTTGACAATGTAACGAGGCATTTCGGGTGTCTAGAAGTTCGAGCTTCCTCGGAGCTGGCGACAACGGGCCTCTAACAGCATTCGAAGGCGCGGATTTCCCACAACATCCGAACGCGTTGAAGGAGCTCTCCAGGAGCACTCTCCGCCGTATCGCGCGGATTGACACTCGCATCCCTAAAGATCAAACATCGCCGTCTCGAGTGCCCTTTACCGCTTGCTCGTCAGAGAGTCCAGCGCTTTACCAGCGCTTTCAGTCAGAGGGATCGAGAGAAAGGTAAAAATGAAATTCCAAATGCCGACACGCTCTGCTGACTGCTTAATCCGCGAAATCGCGAAAGACCGCTGCACCGGTGGCGTTCCGTTTGAGCTCTGCTATGCGCAACACGACGCTTCGTGATTATGTGCCGGGCGTGATACATGGATTGAGGGAATGACCGTCGAAATATCCGTGCCACGCGAACGCATACCCTGGCACAGAGCATGTGGTGAGTGAAATTTCGAGTGACTTAAATTCCGCAGCTGCAGGTGGGCCGGACGAGCCATTAGCTGGCCTGCCCGCGTCGGCAATGTATCGGGGAGCGTCTCCGAATTACGTTCCTCTCTTAAGCTACCTATCGCATGTATGATCTCGCGATGTCCCACCGACGGAACGGATCTACATTAGTAGCCCACGTGCAGCTCAGAGCCCTCTGTCGTAAGGGAACGCTCCGCAGAGTCCGACTCTGGAAGAGGAATCCGAGCATTGTACGCTTATTCATTCCTATGCTATTCACCAATCATCTCGGCCCACTTCTCGGAATCGGACTAAGTTGCTATGGGGTAGGTCAGCGATGCGAACACCGAGAGAAAGGGTGCGTTCCCCAAATTTAGGAGCTCGTCGAATTAATCGCCTGATCGATGCGAGGCCTTCGAACAAGAGAGAACTTCGCTCCGACCTGAAGCTGATCCTGAATGAGGGTAAAACCTAGAAATCGTGCCGCATGTGGTCGGAGCAACTATGGAAGTGCGTTTCGATCTCTGACAAATTCTTTCTGCGATTCTGACAACGTCGAGCTCTGACTTGTGCGATTCGATCTCTGGCGAAGCGGCAGCTACTCAATCGGCATTCGATTGAGATTATGACAGCGTAATTCTTATGCTCCGATAGGAATTCGAACATTCACTTAACCATAAGGGCTCAACATTCATGAGCGATCGCGAGCGGCTTGTTTCGAATTACGAACGTGAACCGCTTGTCTCCTTGTGGTCACAAACCGTTATGTGCGGAGCGATCCCGCTCCGGAGTTTCACGGAGCAGCGATTATTCACGACACCTGATGACACGGCGAGCATAGTGAAACGCTTAGTAGTACTTGACGCCCTTGGTACGTCAAGTACTTTCGCTCCGTACAAAGCCGCGTTGTATGATAAGACGTGTAACTATATAAAATTGTTCTTACACCAAGGTGGATACAAGCCGGATCAATGGATTGTGGGATAACAGTAAGACTTCATCCCGATCCGGTTCTCACCAAGGTCTCGCTCGATCGGCGGCGACTTACCCACAGAAACGCTCTTTGTCACAAGCTGACAACAGCAATAGAAGTCAGAACTGTTGTTCCTTCGTGACTGTCGAGTTTCGCTTGATCAGAATGTCTGTCAATCACACATCGTATGAGCACGGAGTTCCACGGCAGGGCGCGTTGGATAACTTCGAAGGGGTCGCGGAAATTTTCGAATGAATACTGACCCTGGCGAGAACTAGTTTCGTTGGAAGAGTTTCGAGTTGCCGAGCGCCATAAAGGCTTATTGCAGTCTGAGAATGAGCTCTGTTCCGGAGAGGGTAGCTAAAAATCTGATGATTGTAGAGGGCTAGGGATATCATGGGAGTAATCAGTCCGAGAATAGGAGCTTACAGAACATCAAGCCGCGACTCTGGCGTGAAAGAGGCGAAGGCTACATAAATGAGAGGGTATCGAACGAACTTGTCCTCCTAAAGTTTACCTCTCAGGGGGAGACGCATGGAGCACCACTTCGCTGCGATGGGCCCATCATGCTTCGGCTCAACTCAAAAGAGCTCGGCTCCGAAGAGTTTGCCCTCCGACCTCAGACTGAGCACGATGCGGAATCGACGAAGTCTCAGACCGAGCTGGGGTGAATCCGAGAGGATGGGCCCTCTGGAGAGGGTTTTCAATGAGAAAAGTTTGGATCGCTTCGTTGATGGTGACTCGACCATCCTTCCCAGAACTCCCGACTACGAGCTATACTCACGCTTTCTGAGAACCTCCGCGAAATTCCATCCTCCGAGAAGCAGGGCTCGGACTCCACGAGAGTACTTCGAATAATAATCCAACACGAAACAACTCACCGAAAGAGACGGTGCCAATCCTTCGCGAACGACCTTAGATCTCGAGCACCGGGACAGCGAATGAAGTCTGGATTTGCGAGACTGTGCTTAAATACTGATACTCGAGAGTGTTTCAATGCGGAATCCGGCCTCGGAACTTGGGTGAGGAGAATTCTTTCGCTCCCACCCCTCCGATGAATTAAGCCCATGGGTCTTCTCGAGACGCGGGAACTTCGAGCGGCGCCACCTCTCAGGAATTCGTGGGTCGTATCCCGAAATCTCGTCCCCCAGCTTAATTGGTGAAGAGGTTCTCACTCAGCCCCTTCTCAGTTCTATCGATCGGAATTTCATACAGTCTGTGTTTGAGATCTGCGCTGCGTGACTCTGTTCGCGAAAAACGAAATATCAATCTTGGATTCACCCGGATTTCTCGGATTATCGAAATTCGTCTAAATGAAGTTCGTGACGGCGCCGATACCAGAATGCCATTCTCACGGGAATGCAGGATCACCTCCCGATGCGCGGCTTCTCCGCGGCTGGTTGGAATGGTTAGACGCTCAATGATTGGATAGATGTGAGTGAATTGGAATCAGAGCTCGGATCACAGTGTTGAAATAATACCGAGAGGAGCCCATAATCTTGCCTCATAAGGCGACAAGGGCCCGCTCGTAGGGGAATTGCATCCGATGCGCGCACTGTTCCTCATGTCGAAGTCGAGCTTCAAAGCGCCGACTCTAAAGAACAAGGAGAAGTGGTCTCTCGACTTCCACAGTTTCGTGAAACTCGCGTTGACGAAGAACCCGAAAAAAGGCCGATGGCCGATAAGATGTTGCTGCGTCCGTTCTTGATCGGCGAGCTGAGCAAAGAAGTCATTGCAAACCTAATCGAAAGGGTCCCACGGCTGCCGAATATCAGCACGACGAAGAGGAGGACGAGCTGGTGAACAAGGCCCCGCAGAAAATTGTGGATTCTCGGGGCAGAGAGGATCGGAGGCCATCCGTGCAGCCGTCGCCACGAGATAAGGCGGAGAGACTCGACGAGGAGGTTCAGATCGGAGATCTGGAAAAGAGTTTACTCGAAGTCGTCGAAGAGGAACTCCAACAGAGGGCTACCCTCCCAATGGGAGAATCGCTAATGGGCAACTCGCAATGGGCACATCACAAAGAGGCGCTCCCCCCGCCCGTACCGGCGACGTCTCCGCCTCGGAGCGACGGAGAAACTCCGTCTCCCGAAGGTCCCGAGCCTCCGCCGAGATTACGGCGGAAGAAACAACTAGGCTCAGATGGTCCTCCGCCGACTCGGGAGCGCCGATGGCCTCCAAACTCCAGAGTCGCTCGAGATCTTTTGCCGGTTTGGAGACCGTGGCGGCACAGCACACTGGCTGAACTCGAATAACGTCACCACGAGTTGTGTTGGCTCCGTAGCATCCGGAGACGAGCCAGCCGAAACGCGGTGATTTGGCGAGGAGATCCCCGGCGATTACTGTTTCTTTGTTCAAATGTATAAAATGTTCTTTTATACATTTGGTCTACTCCGATGAGGAGGTCAGGAGCAATATTGTCGAGCTGGTTGACGATAGATGGGTCGGCCAGGGGATGCGTCGCTCCAAAATGTTGAATGAGTCTTCGCATTTGTTCGGAGCAGTTGGTCGGAGGGTCGACGCCAAAGTCATATTCGTGAGCTTGAATGAGAATCGGATCGCAATCGCCATGAGCGCTCACTAATCGAATATCATAACGGTTCGTCGTGACGGCGTGTTGGCTACCGAAAGCCTACAGGTCAAGATCGACGCGGGCCTTCGGGGGAATGTTCGGGAGCCGGCGTATGAGTCGGCGAGTGACGAAGGAAACCATCGATCCACTGTCGAAGAAGCAGCGCACTTTAATCTCCGTGTCTCCGAAAACGACGAAAGCGGTAGCAGTCATGACGACAGCACGGTCGCTGGTGGCCACCGCGACTACCTATCTGCAAGACGCTGGCAGTAGTCCTGGAATCGGCTGGGCCGCTGAAGTGTCCGTGCATGACCGTGCGGTGCGTTGAGCTGCCACAAGTCTCGGGGTCCCGAGCACTGACGTGGCGGCAGGGGTACGTACTGGAAACATTTTACACACCGTCGGCGCTGTGCAAGGAGTCAAGGAGTTCCAACCGCCGCTTCATCGGGATATCAGCTGTGCAACATGACGGGAGGTGCTCGAAGCTGTTGCAGAAGAGACACGGTGTTCTGCGAGTCCTGGACGCCTTCTTGGGATTGCTTTTTGTCGTGGCCGCCGTGGTGGACAACGGGGGTTGGCCTGGTGGCCTTCGGGGCAGACCGCAATACCTCGGCACCTTCGGGTCAGCTGAAGAGGGTGTAGCTTGATCGCCGCAAGTACTCCGCTGCTGGGCCGAACTCTTTCGCTCTCGGAGGTCAGTGTATCTTCTGAGGAACGAGAGTAGATCTTCTAGTCTCCGTGCCGCGGCGGCGGCTTGGTTTACATCAGCAACATCATCGGTCAACAGAGCCATTGTCTGACGATCCTCGAAATTCAGCACTAAGTCTGCACTGGTAGCGCATTGCGAATGGTTTGCTCATACGTGAGAGCGATGCTCTGTAGTGGTGCGTTCACACCTTCCCAGGCGAGAATGGTCCGCTGGGTGTCATTCAAGAGCTCGCGCAGTCTCGCCATATCGTTGGCATTTCGAACGATTGGCACTC